AAGCAGGAATGAACAAATCTGGCACAGAACAGTGACAAATGTCAAATGTAACCAGGAAGGATATGGACTGCAGTGACACAGAACATTTTGTTCTCTGTATTTGTCTTCCATTAGCAGTAAAGGAAGGTACCTTTACTGTACACATTGGGCTATAAGCAATTCACACAAGTGAACAACCAATGTTATTAGAAGCAAAGGTGACATGGTGCTAGACAAAGTACCATAGGTTTCTGTGGGGGAACAGTAAATCAGCTCCCAAACACCCAACCCAAAGCTATGTAATCTACATTTTTTTGAGGGGAGACTTGCTGGAGGTGGTTTGTAGCATGCTTGTGACTGAGCTCATCAGACTTGAAGAACTTTCTTTCGGAATGAACAAAGGAGGAACACAGCATGGGAGCATCATCACCATCATTATTTATTGTGTTCCAGAGAACAGAGAACTCTGCTTGTCAGAGTTCATGATTCAGAACAAAGGAGAGCAGGTGGTTTGCTACTGTGGTGGTGGCTTCTGAACCCTAAACTGGGTATATTAGAATACAGTGGTACCTCGGGTTACATACGCTTCAGGTTACATACACTTCAGGTTACAGACTCCACTAACCCAGAAATAGTACCTCAGGTTAAGAACTTTGCTTCAGGATGAGAACAGAAATCATGCTCCGGCGGCACGGCAGCAGCAGGAGGCCCCATTAGCTAAAGTGGTGCTTCAGGTTAACAACGGACCTCTGGAACGAATTAAGTACTTAACCCGAGATACCACTGTATTGACAAGCTATGGTCTGGGAATAAGAACAAAAAATAGAGGTTAAGCTTGCACTTAAGTGCACTCAAGCATGACTACATTTTAAGCACATATTATAAGTTTATGTTGGCTTTTGGTACTGTTTATTTCCATCTTATATGAGCATTCAATATCTTGCACTTTTCTAAATAATCTTGTTGGTTGTTTAATTATTGTTGGGCTTACAACAGCACAAATCTAAGCACATTTACTTGGAAGCAAGACTGTGGGTGGCAGTGGAAGACAGGAGTGCCTGGCGTGCTCTGGTCCATGGGGTCACGAAGAGTCGGACACAACTAAATGACTAAGCAACAACAACAACAAAAGATCCTCTGGACTTACTTTTAACTTTTGTGAACTGCACTACAGCCCAAGTGTCATTTACGTGCAGAGGGGGTCTGGTTAGGGGCAAGTTAAGTAGCTTTGAATGCCTCATTTCCAATGGGGCTCTAAAATCTCTTGAGATTTCTGGTGGATCATGCAAGTTTGGGGCTCAGTTTTGCAAGCAAAGAAATGATAGCCCAAGACAATCTTCTTGCTGCTCAGAAGATCTTCAGTTAGCAGGAGGTGGGGGTGTTTTATAAATGTATGAATCACCATATCACAATTTCTTTGAAGTATGTACACTCCCTCTGTTCATTACTGGAGTGTACATCTGAGATCTGGCGTGGGTGTGGGTGTGGGTAAGAAAACCATTAGCTAGGCCACTGAAACCAGGCTACTCCTCTCCAAAACACAAACGAGCAAGAATATTCCACGGCGGATTTTGTGATACATTTTGTTATCCAGATAAGACTTAAAGGGGCTTGAACTATCAAAGCATCCAAGAGATGAGGAGCTCAAACAAACAAATTAGACTTCCCGGCCTGGACAACTATCCTATCGGTGCATTAGGTGATGCTTTGCTCCTATCCTGTTTATGGAATGGTTGTTACTGTGTTTGGCACAGTGCCCTGTGGTCTGAGATGTTCACGGTTAAACCTGCCCACATATTCCCCACCACAACCCACTTGGCCCTTCTCCAGCCGGAGCTCAGTAATGGGAGATAAGCTTGCAGGTGACATAAGTGCTTTATTTACATACGAAGCTCCCTCAATCCATCAGCTGCAGGAAAACAAGGCTGTCAGCACAAAGATGATCTCATCCTTCCTGCAGAGCTGCTCTGCTTGGATTGCGGAGGCAGGACTCCCTCCCTCCCCTGCCATATCATCCCATCCAACAAGCAGCAGCCGGGAGCACATGTGAAAACAAGAAACGAGTTAGTCTTTCTGTTGATTTGGAAAGTAGAGGTTGCAACTGAGAAGTGACTGGCTGGAACCTTCGCTGGCTGCTGTGACTACACAAATGAGGGCAAATGTATGTCTATCCAAAGGAAGAACTAGCCTGGGTCCTATGAGGCTCGATGCCAGGGAAACACAGAAAGCCTTATAGACAGACTCTTGGCTGAGATGTCAAGGTCAATTTGGAGGACGCTTTCCCTGGGGGCTATGAGATAGCACAATGAGGTAATGCCTTTACCAGACACTACAGAGAACCTGACAAAATCTTGACTTCACTCAAAACCGAAATAAGCAGGGTGTCCTCAGTTTATCCCATTGGGGCATGTTTCATAATTTCACAAAGCTGATGTGTCATGAGAATAGAATTAGTCTCAGTGTTACTTGCTTCTTCTCAGAGTGTTTAAAAGTTCTGCAGAGCAGTGGCTAGAAAACCGTTGCAAGTAATGCACCTTTGTAATGGGGAAATGGATCTTATGTGATCCAGAGACATCCACTTTTAAAAGGGTGCTTCTATAAAGTTTGCCTAACAATGCATCTTTTCAGGGATTTGCCAGCACTTCCATGTATAGACTTTACAAACACAGGCAGAACAATCAGCCCTCAGATCTGCTCAAAACAAGCCTAGTACTAGCATAGCAGGAATAAAGGGCTTTGCTAGGGTTGTGTGGATACAAAAAACAACAACACAAGTTTGAGCAAGAAATGAAAGCAACTCTGGGTATGGTTTTTAAGCACTGGCAAATACTATGTAGAGAGACTCTGGATTACAAAGTAGAAGGCTGCACCAGAATGCAGGCTGCCTTTTCTTTCAAGCCCAGGAACCACTGCTGCAAAGAAATTCGAAGTCTTTCAACTGAGTACCTCCGAGCCTTTACCAGCATCACTCTGCTCACTACCCCTATAAAAACCTGCCCATCATTGACATGCCTGTGGGCGAAGCATGATGGAAAAAGGAAACTTAGAGACTTACTAAAGATATGGGCAGCCTTTCCTGGGCTTGCCGTACCATGCTCAGCTAGTTGCTTTCTCACTACATCATCCACAGGCCATCCAAAAAGGCAGATGAATCCAACAGATAAGAGATGGAATAGAAATGATATAATAGAAGGCAAGGCAGAACTAGAAATCCCTGGGCTCTGTTCCCAGTTTTGGGAAGGGTTGTATGGAAAAGCCATTGTAATCACAATAAGGATTAAACTATCCAGGATCTACAGCTATCTCTGACAAGCAAGGCTGGTGCTGCTTCTATCGATCCATCTGCATAAAACTACCATCAGACTCTGCAAAATATGATAATGAAGGAAACTTTGGTGGTGATTCAAGGGAGGCAGGTGCTTTGTTTCATCTTATCCCTGCAGAAAAAAAGATGACATCATCATCTCCTTTGAGATTCTGAACTGTCCCTTGTTCAGAATTATTTTCTACCGTGATATGAGGAGTAATTCTGCTTCCTTAGTTTCAGGCGATCAAAGCTCTCAAGATCATCTTCCTCAACAGATAAAAAGGGGGAAACTTAAGCTATGAAAAACCCTTGAGATGCATATTGACCCACACATAACCACCCCTTCTCAGACTGTCTTCTCAGAGGATCCTGAAACCAAGGGAGAGATCAGGCCTGATGTGACTGTGATATAGAGTGGAGCAATGCACTCTAGTGTAACAAAACAAAACAAAACAGCAAAACAAAACAAAGTAAGGCAGGGGAGGAATATAAAAGACCTTACCTTAAACTGTGCTTTCCCTGTTCTGCAGTTGTTGTTGTTGCAGTTCCTCTCGCAACGGGTATGAGTTGATGTTTCCTCCCCTGGATTAGGTTCTCCGTGCCAGTTGGACAAGGTGATTTTCTTGATGGAGCGGGACAGGGAGTTGCGGTTGATGCGATCTTCATTGGTGGCCACCTCCTCAATGGGGCTGGTGCTGTCAAACCTACCCTCAGAGGACACGGGAGAAGCCTGAGCCAGATACAGAGACACACGCTCATTGAGGTTTTGGTGCAGGGCATGATTATCCAGAGCAGCTATGTCAGGACAGCTGTCTCCTGGAAAGTCCAGGGAGCACTTGGGTAGGGAAAGCTTGGTGGTAATAGTGAACGGCTGGACCTTCCTTGCTCTGCTGCCAGACATTTCTCCCCCTCGCATTGGCCACACAGGAGACAGGGGAAAGGGAAGGGGAGAGTGGGCCACCAGTCCTGAACTCTAACAAGAAACTATAAAACACATGGCAGAGTCACAAGAGATTCTTCTCCAGCCTCTTCCAAACCATGCAGATGAAGAATTTGCCCCTCAGTCCTCCTGGGAACTCTCTCAGAAGTTAAGCTTGCTCAGAAATGTCTGACGGAAGGGGACTTCCAGTCTTCTTCGGCTTCCAGGCCTGAGAAATCACGATGCTACCACCACACCAGGCCTCTGGTCAGCAATGACCGTGTTGCTTTGCTTCCCCATCCATAATTCTCCACCAGCAACCAAAAGACCATGAGTGTGGGGTTGTGGGTGGGAGCTTAGTCCTGGCTTCAAAGCGAAGAGGAGAAAAGCATTCAGCGAGGCTGGAAGCTGGAAGCGTTTTGTCTGGGGGTGGATCTTGAGAAATGAGATCAGAAATTAAATCTTCTTCCTTGGGAGGGCTGGAGTTGCTGATTGCTCCCTGATTGCTCTCCCTCTCCTTTGGCAGGCGGAGAGCAGCTCCTTCTCCACACGCACTCACCCAGAAGCTAAAAATGTCCCTTCAGATGCTGGAGAGAGAGAGAGGGAAATTGGCTGCCGCGCGGGGTGAAGTCGGTTTCCTCCTCGCTCTTTGGGGTGCTGCTCCACTTCGAAAGTCTCTGCATGAGTGGTGGTGGCGGCGGCGGCGAGGTCGACAGGTGGTAGCGGTGGGGCTACCTACCTGCAAAGTTGGGGGCTTCTGCTGCTGCTGCTGCGGCCGCCCCTTCTCCTTGGCGTCTCCCTGCAGAGCTCGCCTCAGGCGTCGTCCACCTTCTTGCGCAGGTTGAGGACGCAGAGGAGGCAGGTGAGGAGCGCCTCGCGGGACTGCCGGGAAGTCAGGCGGGCCCCCAGGCGCCGGAGCAGCGGCAGGAGGCGCTGGCGAGCCACCAGCAGCAGGCGAGTCAGCAGGGTGCGCAGAAGCAGGAGGGCGAGCAGCGGGGCGGGCATGCTGCGCTCCGGGCGCTCGGCGGGGATCTGCGAGGGGAGGCACAGAGACCGCGGTCAGAGCAGCCGCGGCACGGAAAGGCGCGCATCCTGCTCGGCGGCCGAAGCAAGAGGGGAAGCGAGGGAGGGAGGGAAGGAAGGAAGGGAAGGAGCGCGCGCCCACCACCACCCACCCAGGGTTCAAGCGGGCCTGTCTCCTTTTCTCCCTTTCCCTCCTGGCCCCGTCTTCACTTCTCTCCCACTCCCGGTCCCGGTTCCAGTCCCGATATTTAGCCCAGCCCTTCAGGCAGGGAGTTCTTTAGCATGAGGTAATGCGGCTTGGGCAAAGGGGAAAAGACGGCTTCCAAAAAAACGCGCAGCCTTCCTCCCTCCTGGGGGTGGAGGTCGGCCGCTTCCCGGAGGAGATTCGGGGTGCAGTTGGGGGAAAGGAGCGCGGGTTGTGGAGGGGAGAAGAGGGGCGCCTCCGGGACAAGGCAACGAAAGGGCGCACCCATCCCGTCGCGCGCCATGCGGGAAGGGACTCCGGCAGCAGCTGGAACGAACCGCGCCTCTCCGGGGCCTTTGAACGGCCGCGCGACAGAAATCCAACAGGTGAAGCTTTTCCCAGCGCGAGGCAGCCGTACTGAGGAACGTATCGCTTGCTGGATTTCTGCCCGTGGGGAGGCTGTTAAAGACAACAGGAGCCGCCTCAGCGCCTCACTCAGACGCGCACGCCGCTATAGCTCGCGCTCTCTTCTTCGGGTTACAGTACTTGCAAGCAGCCTGAGGGAGTTAGTTGCAAGCAACCTGCGAGCCACGGAAGAAAAGGATGGGGCAAACTTTTCCCCCTCTTTTTTTTTGCAATCTCATGCGTATGCTTGAAGTGCATTTCCCCTTTTAAAGCGTGCGCGCACGTTCGCCTAAAGTGAAGCTGTAAAATTGCGCGGGAAGCAATGTAGCCCGGCCACCAGCCCCTTGCTAGAGGATGGGGTTATAGAAGGGAGCTGCGCGCGGGAAGGTTCTTTGCTTTCCCGCGGCGCTTCCTGTACTATCGAAGGAACCCCACGAGCCCGCTTCCCCTGCTTATTGCTGCGCGTCCTCTCCTGCCTCCTAGCGCGCGGGCCGCTGGAATCTAGGGGAAGGGAGAGCGGGCGGGCGGGCGGAGGGGAGAGGAGCGTTCCCTGCAAGTGCCCAGAGTTGTCTTAGCAACTGAGCGCGTCGGAGGCGATGATGCAATTGAATTCCACAAGGATAGGCTCAAAGCGCGGGGACTCGGAAAGGAAACTTCCCCGGGCGCTATGGCAACGGAGAACACGGACTCCAGCAACCTCCGGGCAGGGGAGGCGGGACTAGAGCGCTGGACGGCCAGAGACTGGGACGGAGCCCGGATCGCTGATTGTCGCTTGCTCCCGGCCTGGCTGAGGATCCGCGCTCCCTCCTGCGGCGCCCCGGCCCTTTTCAGGGGCTTCTGTTACGGCGCCGCAGCCCAATGCGCGCTGAGCGCAGCGTGATGGGGGGGCGGCGTTCATTGTGAGAAAGTTTCTCAGTATTTGCTCTTCACACAATTGGGCAGAAGACACTTCTCTGGAGTAATGTCAACTGCGGCTTGTATATACATTTATTTATGAGCTAAACAAGCTATAGCTAAGGGCCCCACTCTCTTGGGGGGCCCCAAAAAAATTAAAAAAAAAACCCTGGATGTACATTTCCAAAATATAAGATAAAAATAAATAATATAAAACCTACATATACAGCAACAGTGCTTTGTGTTGTGTGCAGGTTCCTATGACATAAGTAAATTACCATATAGCATATATTCAACACACACAAAAGTGGCAATTTGTTGCTGACAAAGGACAGCTGGACATATAAAGGGCCCCATTACTTTCAGTAGCTTAGGGCCTCATCAAACCTAAATCTGACCCTGTTTGTATAGGCCTTCAGGCAGGGCTTCCATCTGAACAGATGCACAGGGGGGCAGCGGAAGCATATCTGCAGGCCCTTTCCGCTCCACCTACTTTAATCTGGCATTTGAAAGAGCCTTCTTTGCACGTGCAATTAGAAACACGAATTTATAGGCATGTGCGTAGGGCCAAATTAAGACCTCCAGAGGCACTAAAAAAAGTATGGTGCCCTGCCCCCACGTAATTCAAAATAAAACCAGTACTAAACTAGTTTTTAAAGAAGACATAGATTTATTGCAGCACATGGCAGATATGATTTCCTGGCATGAGTGTTCTTTTAAGTGTTAAGACAGACACGATTGTGTCGTGAACACAGATTTATAGCCATCAAGTTTGTGCTTGTGTAGATTTCACATTTAAAGCTCCACATGCTTGGGTTAGGCAAGTGTACATGATCTCCTCCCTTCCCCTCATGCATCCAAAGTAATGTCTGAACACCATGACAACTGGGGTTTTTGTTTTGTGTATCGCAATTGGCTGCACATATGAATGTTCCCATAGTGAAAAACCTACAAGTGTGATTAAAGCATCATACATGTCACATGGAGACAGTAGAAAGTGGGACTGCACCCACTGGCACCCCCTCCTCATGCATGTTTGACAAAACCCATAGAAAGCCATGCTACGGAACAGTTGCAGGCTCTTTGCACAATCAAGGAATACAGATTCACACATACAACAACTATGATGCTGCTTTGTAAATATGCTTGCTACTTCAAAACTGAATGCCAAATTTGAAGGGGCGGGGCGTGGGCAGGGAGGCTGCTGTCCCCCCCAATAAATAAAATCAATCAATAAATACTTAAATAACAGGTTCTGGCCCCCTAACAAAAGCCTCCCCCCCAACAAAAATCCTGGATGCACCCATGAGGCAGGGCAGGAAAAGAAGGTGCAGTCTCACTGCAATCAGCATAATTTGTGAAGAGCCCTATTGTTGCATACAGAAATTTGTGGGCAAGGTGCACAAAAATTCCTACACAGAATGCTTCAGTTGTCTGCGATGGGGAAGATCTTTCTGCAATAGTCATTGACAGGGAATAACATTTAAATTAAGGATGGATGGGGACCCTCCAGACGTTATTGGACTTCCCTCAGCCCCAGGTTGACCAATAGTCAGTGACAATATGAGTTGCAATCCCACATCCCTGGTCAAAAGTCACTGCAAAAAAAAATATTTCACTGTAACCAGAGTGAACTACAGCTGTTTCTGCACCAGACAGGGAAACATCTTGCTTTTATTAGGAAATTCTGTCTGACATCCTGACTATGTTTCAACAACAAAAGAATTCCGCCTTGAATGTGATTAATATATATATTGTTATGAGCTTGTGAGTGCTAGACACTTCTAAATTCATGGAATCAGTAAGTGTTAGAATTTAATTAAAGGCCTCTAACTCCAGGAAATTGCCAGATCACTATAATCCCGGGATTCAGCAAAGTGTTAGAATCTAATGAAGCCTTGGGGTGTTAAACTCAGTGACATATTACTTTAATCCCTCAATTTAGCAAGTGCTAAAAATTAATTCAGTCAGGGAAGCCTCCTGGTTGATGGGCCGTTAAGACAACCAAGGATCAAAAGGGTCTTGGTGTGAGATTGAAGGAGTGAGGACTTTCCTTCGACAGATAAAGCCAGATCTTGTAGAGGTTAGAGTTAAGAGTTATGTGTCCGGGAGAAGCAAAGCAGCAGATAGAGCATGATGGCTTATTCAGGGCTAAAGCTATGGAAGAAGCAAAACTCTCTTGGGATGTTTATGCTGTGAACCTTCCATCATAGGCTCAGGTTGTATATATGTGTAAATAAACCATATATCATGAAGACACCTCAGTCTCCACTGTGCCTCATTTCCAAAAGGAAACACAAACCCTGGATGAGTGCTGGAGCCCCTGGAATCCTGCACTGCTCAGAGCTTGGAATGGCATGCAACAATGTAATAACATAACACAATAAAACTATTTGGAAACTATTACTATTCCAGTAAGCCACATGGGTTGCTTGTGGCAAGACCCATCATGATGGGTGGTGCCGGGGCGGGGGGGGGCAAGCATTCTCCCCCAAAATGAGCTCAACCCTACCTAGTCCCTTGCTGGACTCCTGCCTGTAACATATACATTTGGTTTTCTTTCAGAGATAATAATAATAATAATAATAATAATAATAATAATAATAATAATAATAATAATAATTTATTTATACCCCACCCATCTGGCCGAGTTTCCCCAGCCACTCTGGGTGGCTTCCAATCAAGTGTTAAAAACAATACAGCATTAAATATTAAATATTAAAAACTTCCCTAAACAGGGCTGCCTTCAGATGTGTTTTAAAGATAAGATAATAGCTGCTTAACGCGTGGGACGTACAATCACAGAACTGTAGAGTTGGAAGGGAAGGGTCATCTAGTCCAACTCTCTGCAATGCAAGAATTTCAACTAACACATCTATGACAGATGACCTATAAATCACTCGCTTGTAAATATGCTTTGCCCCTTCTGTGTGCCTCATCCCCTTTTTTCTGGTGCCGCCCACTGGGACCTGTTGTCTGTATGTTAGGTAAAGCTAGTAGTGATAATGTGTTTCCTTTTTCCATTTCACTGTAGCATGTCTGATGACATAATGGCAGCCAGATCAAGGGCTTTTTGTATTGGAATTCCAAACTGGAATTTTGTGACAAAAGGAGATGTCAGTTTGTTTCCAATCTAGCTATGCAGTCTGCAATTGTTCACTTGCTTTTCTGCAGGGAATCCAGATGCTTTTGCCAACCTATTGCATTCAGTTTCGCCACACCCCCGTGTTGTCCTTCCATCTATATTCAACTTAATTTGTGCTTATCGTTTTCATGGTTAAAGGGCACTTGTAGCATCGGTCTATCCAGTGCGGACAGGCAAAATACCACTGAGGTTTTCCAGGGCTATTGTGTCTTTAATTAGACACCATTTTGTGGTGTCTGCCTCTGATTGCTTCCTGTTCAGCGCAGCAAGCCATTGCTGATGAATTGACCCATTCTTAGCTTGTTCTAGCTTTCCACTGCCCTTAATTACTGGTTTCCTTTCATTATTTTACTTTGTCTTTCTGAAAATGCACAATTTTGAAACAAAAGAGCAGTGGAAAATGAGAGAAAACCAGTAATTAACATCTGACCATAAGGAAAAGGAATTGCTCTATTTAAAGAACAGTTAAGGCAGTGTTTCCCAACCACTGTTCCGCGGCACACTAGTGTGCCGCGAGATGTTGCCTGGTGTGCCGTGGGGAAAATTCAAAAGATTTTTTTTTTTTTGTAAAAGTCAAATTAGGTCCTAATCTATCCCTCGAGCGCCTCTTGTCCGTTATTGTGACGCATGAAGCGTGTTCCCACCCACTCCCCGCCCTCCCTTGCTTCTCTCTCTCTCTGTGGCGCTCTCCGCCGCTTCCTGCTGGGCATGCGCAGCTCGCCTCACGCTTCCATTCCGGCCCCTCCTTCCCCCGACTACCCCGCCGCTCCGTTCCTTTCTCTTCCTCGCGTGTCAGAGAGCGGCGGCGCGAGCGCGGTGGTTCCCTCAGGGCTGATGGAGGGCTCGAGGAGGAGGAGGCAGGACGTGGAGGCGGAGAAAGCGGCGGCGGCCACCCCCCACCTCCGGCTCGAGGCCCGCGTAGAAAGCTGAGGGGGAGAGATAGATAGAGGTGGGCGGCGGCGGCACAGTAGTTGTAGCGGTGGCGACGGCGAGCAGGGACTCCCGCTCTCTCTCCGTCGTGTCTCTCTCTCTCTCTCTCTCTCTCTCCCGGCCGGGCCCGTCCGTTGAGTCTCCCGCGCGCCTCGGCTACAAGATGAGCATCGAGATCCCGCCGGGTCTGACTGAGCTGCTGCAGGGCTACACGGTGGAGGTGCTGCGGCACCGGCCGCCGGACCTGCTGGCCTTCGCCGCCGAGTACTTCGCCAAGCCGCGCTCTCCTTCCTGCCTCGCTTTGCTGCCTCCTCCCCCCCACCCCCAAAGCTTGGAGGTTCCCCGGCGCCGACCCGCAGGTTTGACCCCCTTCTCACACCTGTTCGCGCTCCTTGCACGGAATGGGGTGGATGGGGAGGAACGGGGCTCGCCGCTGCCTCCGCTCGCCCTCCCCCCCTCCGCCGGCGGTCCCGCGATTCTTGGCTTTTTGGCAGTTGGCACAGAAGGAAGGCAAGGGGGAGGGGAAAAAATTGAATCTTACACTTTCGTGCGTCCCTCCCGGCGTGACGCTGCGCGCTGACGTCACGGGGCTGTAATGGTGGTGTGCCTCGAGATTTTTTTCATGAAACAAGTGTGCCTTTGCCCAAAAAAGGTTGGCAAACACTGAGTTAAGGAAAGAAATCATCTGCAATACTGTGACCGCACTGAACAGGAAGCACTTGGAGACTGAGGCTAGAAGGAGGCAGATTCTCAGTAAAATCTGCAAGAGCTCTTTCTTGAACAGGATTGGTTACTATAGAGCTTGCCAACCTTTTTGGGCCTATAGGCACATTTGCAAACTGCTGTGGCCTGGGCTAGGGGAGAGCCCATGAGCCTCAGGGGCAAGATGGGTCAGTTTGACTGCAGAAAGCCCTGCATCCCTTGCTCTCTTATTTTTTTGTATTCTCATTATTTAACAAGATTTATATACCACTTGATTGTAATAAAGCCTCAAAGTGATTTACAAGAAACAAACTAAAGCATTAAAATTACTAATAAAATACTGTTAAAAACAGGTTGTTGTTTTTTTTAAAAAAACCATTGAAACTAATTAAACTCAACAGTAAGCTAAACACAGATTAAAACACATGCAGCTTCTACATGTTTCAATAGGCTTTCCTATACAAAAATGTTAAAGCAGGTACTGAAAACATTATACAGAGGACGCTCGGGTTGCGTTTGCAACCCGCAGCACTGCGTCTGTGCACACGCAGGTCGCGATTTAGTGCTTCTGTGCATGCACAAGCACCGAACCCTGGAAGTAACCCGTTCCAGTACTTCCGGGTTCAGCGTGGTGCGCAACCCGAAATCACACAACCCGAAGCGTTTGTAACCCGAGGTATGACTGTACAGCAAAAGTGCCTGCTTGATGTCAACAGGCAGGGAGTTCCAAAGTGTAAGTACTGTTGTATTGTGGGCATATATGGAGTAAGTTGCTTCTGCATGTAAACTGGTCCCAAGCTGTTAGTGGCTTTATATACTAACGGCAACACCTTGAATTTGGCCCAGTAACACATCAGCAAGCAATACAGTTCTCTGAGCAGAAGTGTTTATGTGCTGACAGGGTTTCATTCCTGATGGTAGCTGTGCTCATACCCTCCAACATTTCTCTGATGAAAATAGGGATGTCCTATTCCATTGTTGTTGTCGTTATTGTTATACTATTTATACCCCACCCATCTGACTGGGTTGCCCCAGTCACTCCAACATATATATGTATATATAAATTAAACATTTATATGTCTCTATACAGGTCTCTATACAGGATTGCCTTCAGGTGGCTTGGGGCTCAGGTAACTCCATACCCTCCAACATTTCTCTGTTGAAAATAGGGACATCCTAAGGAAAAGCGAGACATTCCAGGATCAAATCAGAAACCGGAATGGCTTCTGTAAATCTGAGGCTGTCCCTGGAAACTAGGGGCACTTGGAGGGTCTGCTGTGCTGCTGCATTCTGCACTAACTGCAGCTACCAGATCAGGTTAGGAGATGCCCTACAGAGAGAGTATTGCAGTAATTAAACATTTAGGTCTCCAGTGCCTGAACTACTGCGGCCAAGCAAGCTCTCCAGGAACAGCCACAGTTGTCATACTAGTCGCAGCTGCCAAAATACATTTCTAGCCACTGAGGCTACCTAATCCTCTCCATCCACATAGGTTTGTATTTGTTCACAACGTTAAAATTATAGCACCTCTCAAGCAGAAAGGTAGACTAATCAAGATATCATTTGCCATCCAGATCGTGCAAATAATGGCCTTAAAACTGCATAGTTGAAGCACACTCTCTTTTGGAGATGAGATTCTACAGTTCAGGCTCAGCTTATCATGACTTAAGTTCCCTAATTGTTTACAGACTGATTGACCTCCAAGGGCTTGTTCACATGAAAACAGCCACTCGCCTCCCTATTCTGCCCTGGTTAATGGACTGAAATGTCTGGGTGATTCTGTGGGACAGGATATATCACATAAAGTCTTACCACAAGCCCAGGAACTGTTTTCCACAGATAGGAAGAGTTGTCCTTTTTGGTTTGCAGTGGTATGAAAGCTAGGGAAGCAAGAAAAAGGTTCTCATAAAACATCTGCCAAAACAGATGTTAGGGATGTTGGCATTCCTATCATCTGGAAATATGGGCCTGATTTATTATCACCAATGGGCCTTATAACAATTATAATTGTAAGGTCAAATCTAAATTTTAGCTACCCTGCCAAGATTTCCATCAGAGATTCTGAATGCTTTAAATAAACTTTTTAATTTATCACCAAACAGCAGCATGGAAAGCCATCTTAGGACTCAGCTATACAGCTGCAAATAAAATGTTTTAAATGTGTTGTAAAGAGCCATATACAAATTTGACACTAAATGATAGATACAGTGAGCTATGCCAAATTTAATGTATTTTTTCAAAATGTTTTTTAAAAAAGCATTTTCACAGCATTTTTTATATGTGTGCAGATTCCAACTTAGCTATGGGACACTGGTGTTTTAAGTGTTATGTGTAAAGACAAACTTGTGGTTTGTCTTTGAACTGTTAATAAATTAATCAACCTATTAAATAACTACATTATCTTCATGCAGATAGTTTCTGAATGTTTGATAATATTTCTGTATTAGATTAATATTTTGTAAGTGGCCCAGGAATTGTTACTGATGGACAGCCACATAAATGTAATAAACAATTATAATGGTTCTCTCAATTAATACATCTTAAAGGCATGTCTAATTCAAAAGCTGTTCAAAGTTTACTGCACCAGTTACCCTATTTGTAAAGCACAGCTTGAAATCATGTGATGAAAAACTACACTTTAAATATAATATTCCAGGACATCAATCAGACTGTTTATGATTCCTTTAATCCCTCCATTTCCCCCAACAATATCATTTTAAGCTTCCACTTTAGCAGCTTTACTATCCTACCCCCTTTCCACCCTACCCCTTAATTTTCACCTGCTGTCTCCTTTATTCTTTATCAAAATCTTTGCAAGAGCAGAGGCAAAACACTCAGTTTCAGTATGCACTTTCCTTTCTTTAGGTTAAGAGAAAGCTAGAGTTGAGAGAAAGAAGAAGAAATTGTACATCTTCACATATTCTCCTCCCTCCACCATTTTTTTTTTAAATCCTCCCCAAACTATAATATTTTTGTGCAATCCTCCATCATAGAAATAGAAAACCAGCTGAGTTTTAGGCTGGAATGGCCAGCAAGTAAGGACTGTAATAGTCCATGACTAGCTTTCCCCCTTGTTCTTACATTTTCCATAAGAACATGGAACAGGAAGCTTGGGTGCTCCTGTTGACCTCCAGAGGTCATCTCTGCCATGGGATGGGAACACATCCCTGACTAGCAGAGTTCCCAGAAGACAGCTCTACAAATGCGTAACCACAGAAGCTCTTACTACTGTCTCCTTCCTCGGTCTCCTCTTCCAGAATAGCAGAACGGTCCTGTGTCAAGGCCAGCCTTCAGGTTTCTGCACTGCCTCTGGCAAAACGACTCGCCTGCAGTAGCACCACTGCCCAGACAATGAGGGACACATTTCTTTCTTTCTTTTTGAAAAAAGACTCCTCCTTGTCAGCTGTCCTTTAAACTCTATACCCATATCCAGCTCTGTCTCGCCCAACAAACAAGGGAGAGGAGGAGGAGGAGGGGAGAAGGACACATGCTCATTGTAAGGGATCTCTGCCAACCCTGCGAACCCCCTCCCCCCATCTGTTAGGGTGGCAATGTTGGTGCTTGGAACATGCAGACGGGGCTAACTGGGGGAAAGGGATGGGGCTAAGGGAAAGGATCACAGCATCTGTGCTGCACAGTCATAAGATCTGGCACAAGTAGCACCTGTTGAAAAGCCCGATTCAAACTCTGAGCAGGCAGCTAGCTTAAAAACACAGCTCCACAACGGTTTGCTAATGAGTGTCACTTCATTTCCTCAAGGAACCAAAGAATGTAGACACACGTTATTGTTTAGCAGGGGGAAAGAGAGGGTGGCCTCTAGCACCCAGCGAGTTCCCACTCTCCGAAGGCACTGGGATAGAATGCCTTTTCACTGTCCACCCAGGCAAGGCTGGCCCATTCATGAGGCAAGCTGAGGCGGCCGCCTTGGGCAGCAGGATCCACAGATACAGCAGATCTGGCCTTGTGCACCTTGGAGGTAGGATCTGCCCACCTCCTCAGCAGTGTCCTCTTGGCAAATAGGAGGTGGTCTCTCCCCCCACCCCCCTTGTTTCAATATAGATCTCTATTTCCTCTTGATCCTGATGTAGATCTGCAGTCACTCTTTCTTTCCTGGCCATGCAGGGGCACCATTTTGTGGTCCGCCTCAAATGCAAAAATATTCTGATTATAAATATTCACATTAGCTTAAATTGTGTCCACATGGGGAGGGATTGTTTTGGTCTGGGAGAGGCTGTAGCTCAGTTCTAAGACTCGCTGTACATACAGGAGTCTAAGGGTTCAGTCTCTGCTATCTCCAGTTAAAGAAATACAGTTAAGGGAAATTTATCTGTGCCTGAGACCTGGGAGAGCAACTGTCAGAGAGAGTAGACAACTCTGGGCCTGATGTAAAAATAGCCAGCCCTGGTATAAGACAACTTCTTAAGTTCCCATACATCCTGTGGCACAATGGGTTAGGGCATCTAGCTGTTAAGCAGAAGGTTGGTGGTTCGAGCCTACCCAGGGATGGCTGTGGGACTAGAAGATCCCTTCCAACTCTGTGATTCAGTGATTCTATTCTCAAAGACTCCCCAGCAGATAGAAAACCCTTTGAAGGCAAGCAGTGGCGTAGCGTGGGTTGTCAGCACCCGGGGCAAGGCAAGTAATTTGCGCCCCCTAACCCGTGGATTTGCGCCCCCTAACCCGTGGATTTGCGCCCCCTAACCTGTGGATTTGCCCTAACCCCAGATGTTGCGCCCGGTGCGGCCGGCCCCCCCTGCACCCCCACGCTACGCCACTGAAGGCAAGTGAATCCTTCAGAATCATTTATCTCTGTATGAAAGATCTCCAAACCATTTTAGGAGCCTGGCTAATTTATCTGAGTCTGCAGGAACCTAGAACTGGAAGTGCCATGATAAGAACGCTGTGGGAAAATGTGGCATGTCGTATGGGTTGAATGGATCCAACCCATGTCCGACACAAATAGGAAAGCGTATCCGGCACATAGTAAAGCAACCATGTGCCTAACCGACACACTGTTAATCAATCCACATTTATCTAAGCACTGTAATGTTGGAGGGAGTGGCTAGTCATACTGCGGTAAAAACTCCACTGCAAGTTGGCTGAGCATTGGCAGAAAAATGTCACCACCACATGTCAAAGCAGGCCCCCTCCACCCACATATGCAGCAGCATGAGATTTTATTTCCCATTATGCAATCCCATTCATCTGTGTAACCCTTTTCCATGGCCACAACCAGACTCTGGAATTCCCCACCCAGGCAGATTTGCCTCACCTTGACCCTGAATATTTTCTACCACAGTGGGAAAAACCTTCATTTTTAGGAAGGCCTTTGTTACTGATTTTAATGAACTTTGGTTGACAGGCTTTTATTACTGTTTTTATGGTTTTAATGTTGTGGCTTTTGCTGCTCTGCTTCTTAAGTAATGATGTTTTAGTTAATTTAAAAAAAAGTGATGCATTTTTTAAAAAAAATATCTATATAGTGTTTGTTATTTGTTAGTCACTTTGAACTTTTGGGGATAGTAAACATTTTAAATAATGGAAGTAATTTAAAATGTACATTTGTAAACACCACAGTTATGTGGAGAGGGTTGATCATGCAGTTCTTCTCTATTCCATCATCACCCTGACTTGTGCTGCGTCAAATATTTGCAGAACTTGATGATGTGAGAGGGACCCTTCCTCAAATCACTTCACATTAAATTGGCTTTCAACTGATTTAATTTTCTTGAAGCCAATGAGATTCAACTGGCTTAAACCCAAGTGCTCTGCCTTAACTGCATTGTGGATAGGCTTAACACTGAAGAAAATCAGCAATGAATCGATTGGTTACTTAACAGTTAGAGTATTATTATGTTCATGAGCCCGGGTGATACCTAACATTCTCTGAGCTGGGAACTGGATCCTCTTGCTCATACTTTGCAGTTAACTCACGCAAGATTTAACTGGAGAACAATTGAGAAAAAACAAGGAAGTGGGAAACTGTAAGTAGTTCACTTTGTTTGATGCCGTGTGGAGGTTTATGTCTGAGAGCACAGATCAGCCCTTCCTCCTTCTTTATTCCAGTCCAGACTGATCTTGACTATGTGACCCATCCTTTGCCCCTTAAAGGCTGCTGCCATGAGCTCAGCTGGGTTGACCTTTCCCAGCCCCTTGCAGCTTTCTCACGGAGAGACAGAGATCAACCCAAGGGACCAGCTTGGCCCCAGCACAGCAGCATCATGCTCCAAAATCAGAAACAGCCACTCAACAGCTCAGTCATTAACAAGAGGGAGCAGCAAGGGTCAATGGTGATGTCAGACTCCTGGGGCTTGCTTCCTAGCTGCCCTCTGCCTTGCCTGATTCTTTTCAGCTGATGAAGAACTTGTTCCTTCCTTTCCTTTCCGCACACTCAGTATCATTTAGTGCACAGTGATGCTATTCGTATAATGTTTCTGTTGCTCATATAAGTGTTGTGAATCAGTCAGTACTCTGGACTGCATGGGAGAACCAACAGCATGTGAAAGCATGGGCACAACATGGGCTTAGCTGCCTCCTTAGATCAAGAAAATCAATGAAAATAACTAACGGAGGTTCTGCCCCTCCTAACATGAAGCCTGCCCCCCCAACATAAATCCTGGCTATGCCCATGTATGATAGCGGAATTATTTGGCAGCAGGAACAAATCTGTTAGGAGTAGGGATGGGAGATAGACACATTCAATTCAGTTCACATTAAAACTTGAATTTATCAAATTCAGACTTTCAGTAACCATAGGACAACCAAAACATAGCCATCCTTCGAAATCCAAGCTTATCCAATTTTTGCAATGTAGCTCTGCATTCACCCAAGGTTTGCAAAAACACACGTGTTAGTTAAATGTGTGCCTAAAAAT